CTGCTGAACACTGTGCTGGAGGATCACGGGCTAAGTCGCTAAGTTCCTTAAAAAGAAAACAAAAATCTGTTCAGAGAATGATAATGAATTCAACAGTCATTCTTACTGAACATCCAGCAAAAACAGCTTTTCAACATACAAATACAGGAGAATGTGCAACAACAGCTACTAGAACCACTAGATCAGGATCAGGAACATCTTCATAGAAAAACAAGATTGCCAGAATCAGCTCTGCAGGTAAATAGTTACAGTGACTATATTTTTCTAAATGCAAATTTTGATTTTATGTGCCTGCTAAGATACCTCTGCCAGTGAGGAACAGAGGAGAGAAGGACAAAGAGCATGACGTGTGCAAAGTCCTACCCATTTCTGAGTGAGATTTTCAAGGATTAACTCTTACTTGGAGAAGTCTTCCTTGGGAAAGAGAAAGAAAGGTGCTGATCAGTTTTCGTGATGTAGAAGGCACAATGCATATGAAATCTGAGCTTTTAAAATTTGAGATGGTGAAATTAAGAACGAACAGAAACAGCATATATGTTGCAGCGACTCAAGTATATAGAAAAAAAAAGTTGACAAGTGTTGGACAACAGACAAAATATCTCTAATATGGATCTTAAACTTCACATTTAAGACAATTATGTCTTTAAAATTGGGCTGCAGTTATTCAGAAGTCAGACCTCCCGACACCTCCCCACACACACAATGGAGAAAACAAAACAAGAAATGTAAGTGTCGAAAAATCCTTGTGTGGCATCAAGCTCATCATGCTGAATTGAAAAAACTCAGCATTAATTTCAAATCTGTTGCCTTGTTTAATCACTGTATGGGTTATTTGATTAGATAGTGTCTCTTAGATTTATGCTTTCAGTTAAAGTACACAACAGATATTTTCTCTCTTCCCAGTTTGCTCGAATCTAAAAATGGCTTCAATTACTTCCAGAAATCTGCACTAGTCAAGATACCAAGAGGTCACCAGAAAAAGGAAAATCTTAACTGATTCAGTCGCTTTCCTACGCATTAACAGTTGTGCACAAGTTATTTTACTTCGTGTCTGTACAAGCCATCAGGATATTCTTTTTATTACGTTGTCAGTCATTTAAGTAACCAAGGCAAGCCTATTATGTTGAGAACAGACAGACACATTTGCACCACATAACTAACAGTTTAGCCTGTGAGGACCCTAATGTAACCTTGAAGTTTGACAAATTCAGCACTTCATAAAAATGTAGCGAATATAAGCCAACACACCAAGCAGAAGAAATATTAAGTTTCATGTAACTTGAACATAAGATGAACACCTTGTTCCCTGGTAAGATGATAGTAGCTGCCAAAACAGAAAGAGGTAGACATGACTTCAGCATGTAGAGTTTCTCAGGTTGTAAGAAAACTTTAGACCCATTTCCCCTCCCTATAGTGAAATTGCAACTACGGTTGATTTCATTGCTGCTACTGTTTACAAACACCAATATGAGTTCTTTCCATATCACCCTGCTAAATCTCACTGCTCTTTTCTCCATCATTCAAAACTTACCAGTTATTACCAAGGGCACTGTAACACTCTTATTTCTGCAATGTAGTATTACTTATTAGATCCATATGTAAAACAATGGAATCACCCTCTCAAAAAGCTTGCCAAATTACATTTATATCACCTATGTAAAGGCTAACAAGAAAAGTGAAAGAACTGTCAGCTGTAAGCCTCCCCCCCCCCCCCCCGCGGTTTTCGAGAGGTGAACAGGCTTATTTCTCATCCAAATATATACCTTTCCATTTATATGAATAATCTGTCATTTTTCCAAAACGTGGTAAAACCAACTTCCCCCGCACTTTTGTCCCTTAACATACGTTGTAACAATGTAATAAGCAGAAAGAAACAAGTGTTAATATTTTAACATTTTGTGGTTATTACTGGAATATTTGATTTAGCTAAGGAAGAAGATCAGTTGCTCTTTTTAGCAAACTATCATTGAGACCAGGAATCACAGTTTACTGGAATCATAAAACTCAGGAGCATGGAAGAAAGAAAGCGTAACAAGAGGTTTTAGTGTAAAAGCAAACACTGAGAGGTATGTACAAGAGACTAGGGAGCTCTTCAAAACATACTGTCTTCAGAGAAACAGGAAACCAGTACTCAGGGTATTCTGTCAAGTGCATTTTATCTCAACACAGCAGAAATATTAAAAAGCCTATCAATATTGTAAAGGGAAAAAAAAATAATTTGATAGCAAGTGTAAGAGACTAATAAATTTGGGAAGCCCCAGTAAAAAATTAGTGCAGAAAAACAGCTTCAGTAACATCAAGCTGAGAGCCTGATATCCGGTCCTTTCAAAACGCGTATACATCCAGAATTAGCCCTTTCAAGCATTTGAACTCTTTAGAGAACAAACAAACAGTGATTTTAATAAAGTAAAAGACTTAATTTTCTCCTGCTCACAGACAGGATTAGTAAAATATGATACAGTACTTAATACACTGACCACAGAACAAGTAATTTAGCCACAAAAGTCAGAAAAACAAGTGTGAGATTGCATACTTTCCTGAACTTGTTTCTCTTCCCTTAACACCCTTTGGTCAGAGAAAGAAAGTCTACAGCAAATCTCATGTTTCAAAAGAGCCTGAAATTTTGTGCAAGAACTTGGTCAAACATGAAACAAAGTACTGGGAAGTGTGTTTACTGTCTACAGTAACATCAAACCTACTTCACATTGTTGTTAAGTGCAAAATGCTTAACATTTACACAGAAAGGAGGATTTTTGCAACAAGGGGGCAGAAAGTTCCCTCTGTCTAAAAAAGAAAAAAAATAAAGTGCCGCCTCCTGGAAGCTAGGACTCTCCCGGAGTCCAACAGGCAAACTGGAATAACTGGAAACCAAACAAGCAGAGACACATGGGCTCTGACATGTGGAAAACAGTTGAGCATTTCATTTAGTGAAAGGGAGGAGCCTTAAAAGAAGAGAGGAAAAAAAAAAAAAAAGAGAGAAAAAAAAAAAAAAAAAACCACCCTTCCTACTTAGCAGCAAAGGGGAACCTTGACCTGGCTTCTTAGCTCAGCAGTCAACATGAACTACTCTATGTAACAGGCAAGTATTTCAGCTGAAGATACTTCCAATAGCAAAACTGAGCTTGAAAGCTTGCATTAGCTGACCAATACCACCCCATAAGGGTTCCCTTATTTTCACCTGCTGCTTACCAAGAAGGTAGGACATATTAAGTTTCATTCTTAGAGTCTAACTAATATTTCAGAATCCAACTACAGTGTTAAAAGTGTTCCTGAGTATTATTTTGTAAAACACCTAGTTGTAAAAAAGGACCATATATTCGTTAATCCTTCTGCTGCACTACTTGCTAGGCCCAGCTTCACTTCTTTTTTGTTTGCCTTTTGTTTCGGCGGTGTTTTCATATACCAAGTGATACTTAAGCTATACCCCAAAAATTCTTAAGGATACCAAAGCAGAAAATTCAACGGCAGAGAGATAAACCTGCATTTTCAGGTCAGGAAAATGCTTTCACCATACATGTCACTTAAGGAAAAAAAGCAGGCATTTCCAAGAAGCAAATTCCCGAGCCTTCCCTGCAAAACAATGACACAAACACGGTTCACAGCGATGTACTACACTGGCTGCTGGAGGGGATTAGGCTTGAATTACAGCCCTGACTAGCAGGCTCTGCCTCCACCACAGGTTTCTACTGTAGCTCTGGCATATCACTATTTCTTTGCCCCAGTTTCCAAATATAAAATTGTGATAGCTCTGACCTCTCCACAGGGATGATTAGTCACACTGTTTTACAGATTTCAGGACTATTTAAAGGACTACATGCCAATGCTACTGCTAGAGGACAGCAGCAATGTAGCATATATGAGAAACCATGCATGCGCAGTACAGCACGTGAGTTTTAGAAAACTGAAGGACAGCTGGAAACATGGCCCAAGTACCTGTCACTACAGAAAGGCTGACAGACAGGCCTTAGCATAAATTCAGGTCTATGGTCTTCTGCCAGTATGCTAAACAGTTTCATATTAAGTGTGTGGTAAGATGCAGTTTTACTGGAAAAACAGCCGCCTTCTTACTCATCTGTCTTCTCTTTCCCAAAAATGTAGCAAAAGCTAACCAAAAAGCAAACCAAAGACCAAAAAGAAAAAAAAAAAGAAAAAAAAGGACAACTAATCTGCTTTGTACAAATATAATTATGACTAATGTAAAAAAATTCAGCTTATGCTTAAAATAACAACCTAAACACTGACACCCAAGTGTCAATCCAAATGCAGGGCTATAACCCTACCTGGTGTTCTAGAACACAGAAGTAACATTTTTTTTTCACAGAAGAGTGGTTAAAGAGCTCTTGCAGAATTCCCTTTTGCCACATATTTAAAGGCTGAAGTCAATGTAATAATGCCAAAGGATACCTCTTCCAGACACACACATGTAGGACACTGAAATAAAATATTTAAGGCAACTACCTGCTTTTCCTAGAGAAGTTTTCAGGCCTCAACAAAGCAAGTAGCAAGTAATAGCTTCGTATCTTGTGCACTACCATTTGCACAATACCAAGCTGAGGAGAGTCCCTGTCTGCTCCCTTTCTTCCTCAGTTTGCCAGGATTTGGATTCCCCAGGGCACAACGGCTCTGCTTTTCAAGTAGAAGCTGGAGAGCGCCCGGGCTTATTTTTAATAATAGTAGCAGCTAACCTAAGCACAGAGTGGTAGATCATTTGCACCAGAGTGGCATATGACCACTCTTCTATCACAGTGATAAACTCACCATTAGGTTCAACATAGGTTTGTAGCATGATTATTCCTTAAAAATCACATACTACAGTTTTCTGGTTTCTAAACAAAAACGAACAAACAAAAAATACCATGGAAGAACCTGCATTAGCTTGCTTTAAATTCCCAGAGAATAATTTGTTCCACTTTGGAGGAAATGAAAGGGA